GATCGTCCCCGCGTGCGATATCCTCTTCTAAGAACGACTCACCTTGGAGCAGTGGCTTACGGACCAGCGTAGCAACGTCGCACAGGCCTACGCCAACAACAGACGTAGCTTCACCTCTCAAGAAGATCAGGGAGCAGCAGCAGCACTCAAACGCGACCCCGCCCACGATCATCCCTGCGTACCTCCTCGCCCACGTAACGATGAAGATGACGATGATGACGCTCCTGCACTTGGACCATCCCGACGCCACGTCTCCCCAAGCACCACTTCGCCTGCCCACGAGAACGATGATGATGACGTGGTGAAAGTCACCGCTCAGGAAGTTGCAGGCGCCCCCAATGTCACAGGTCTCCAACTCCTCGGCCTACACACGGCATTGTCTACCACCCCACGGATCACTGAGCCCAAGAACCCACGACAAGCACTCACATGTCCCTACGCTAAGGAGTGGCGTGCGGCTATGGATGCGGAGCTGAAAGCGCTAGAGTCACGGGACACATGGGTCCTAGTCTATCGTGCAGCAGTGAACGGGAGGAAGATGCTAAGCGGCAAATAGGTCTTCCGTCTAAAAACTGCCACCGACGGAACTATCGAGCGCCTCAAGGCACGCTGGGTTGTACGCGGCTACGACCAGCGCCACGACATTGATTTCGACCAAACCTTCGCCCCCATCAGTCGCCATACTTTTGTGAGGATCCTGCTCGCCATTGCTGTCGCTAAGCATCTACCACTGCGGCAGATCGACGTCAAGAACGCTTTTCTGTACGATTTATTCGATGCAACCATCTTCGTGGAGCAGCCACACACCTACGGGGAAGGAGACCCCAGGGTCTGCCAGCTGAAGAAATCTCTTTACGGGATAAAGCAGGCGCCGCGTCTCTGGCAGCAGCACCTGCACAAGATACTTCTAGATATCGGCTTCAGGCAGCTGCCGCACGACCCGGGAATTTACCTCCTTCACTTAAACGACAATTACATCCTCCTGACAGTTTACGTCGACGACCTGCTGTACACCGGCACCAGCAACAAACTCCTCAATCAGTTCGAGGAAAACCTGGCGCAGCGGGTTGACATCACTATCAATCACAACACGCAGTTTCTGGGGCTGAAAATCACTTACGCGCCAGAAGCAATTCATCTGTCAGCCTCCAAGTACTCAGAGCAAATGGGAGAACGCTTCAAAATCTCGCCCACACCACTCTCAACTCCTCACTGCACCCCCAGCACCAACTACAAATCGGACAACAAACCTCTGTCGCCCGCAGGACTTCAACTGTACCAACAGCAACCAGGGTGCCTGGTGTTGGCCCCTGTCATCTGCCGACCCGACCTTTCGTACATCGCCAGCCAACTGGCACAATACTCTCGCAAGCCAGTAGCTGAGAACCAGCTGGACCTGGAGCGCGCCCTGTAGTACTTTATCTCTACACCTGACATCGGGCTCTCCTACTCCACGCTGACAACGACCTCCTTCAATCTCACCGGCTACGTGGACGCAAACCATGCCGCTGATCTCGCAAATCGACGGTCACAAACCTGTTTTGTCTTCCGTTTAGAGCCAATCTCCTGGAACTCGCAGAAGCATGAACCGGTTGCCCTGTCATCGGCTGAAGCACAATACATCGCCGCGACACCCGCTGTTCGCGAATGACTTTACCTACAAGAGCTACTGCAAGAGGCGAAAATTCCAACTTCGCCCACCTTTCGCCTTCACTGCGACAACCAGAACGCCATCAAGATCACGAACAAGCCGGGGTTCGTGAACCGCACGAAGCACATCGCGCTTCGATATTTTTTCGTCAAGGATGAAATTGACTAGGGAAGGTTGACCTCGCGTACTGCTCCACCACTGAGATGGCAGCTGACTTCCTTACCAAGCGACTGCCACATCAGCAGTACAAACATTGCCGCGACCTCACGGGGAGTCAGCCCTCTGCACGCCCAGGAATGAAAAGGAGTGTTACGATATGAAATTCAATAAGAAGTCATTCCTGCACGCTGCAGGAGCTTGTCAGAATTATGTTGTTATAACTGCATGTAGTTCTAGCTGTAGTGTAGTTATCCTAATTACCTGCTGGTGGTTTCCCCACTTACTTCCCCTATTTGTACTTCACTCTCTATAGTGAAACACCTCTCCTTTTGGCCAACTCACCTCTGATCACTCTCGACTATCACCTAGGCTAGGGTTTCTTCTAAGCCTAGGACCAAGGCTGACGTTTCAGATTTTGGGCTCCCTGACGGGGAACGTTTAGTCTGAAGGCCCTTCGGCCAAAAAATGGCCACCCTGATTGCTCAGTCTTGAGAATATGTGTTGTCTGTTCACTCAGGTTTGGTGGGTTCGAATCAGGGTCGTAGGGTGGGTGTACTTACTGTTGCAAAAGCATAAATTTTTGGTATCATCCAGATTTCCCATCGTGTGCAACGCAAGCCAAAAGTCAAAGGCTTGCGTTGACTTTTGCAGCTTATGTGTGATGCTGGCACATGCAAGTGGCGCGACCTTGCAAGTGCCACTCTGGCGAGCTGCCACGCGTGGGCTGGCAGAGGACCTGGCAGTGCTGCGTGTACAGATTGTTCGGCAGCAGATTTTTTCCAGTGTATGAATCAACGAACGTTTTGACCTTTTACACTTTGTGTGTGCCAATGATACCTCCTTGCATTAGGACCATACGCACCGAACATTGCGATACTCTACATCTGGCGAGATTTCTTCACCTACAGTATCGTTTTTCTATTCACTGACACGTTGAGCGATCGGCTGAAAATCTATTTTTGGCCCAGCTACTTCTTCTGCTTCACCGGAAATTGCGTGACATACCCGACAATGGAGTGTATTCAGGTGTCACAAAAGCGCAGAGCGCTTCGTTCACGTGTTGGAACCCCACTGCTCCCTCGGAGGTGGGTATATCGAGAGGAAGTTTCTGGGAAACTTCGTCCCGATAATCTCGCATTCAGGGCCTAAGTAATGGATACTCTGTAGTAACAGGCCCCGCAAACACTATACTCTGAAGTACATTACATGAAATCAGGGCCCCTAAAACACAACTTTGGAGCACTCAGGGACAAAAAATCAGCTACCGTATTCCCCCGGACATACCACCCGCCGAAATAGAGCACCCCCCGGGTGGCTTGTGCGGGGGGGGTGCTATAGCGGGCCTCGTTTCTAGTATACCCCCCTTTTGGGGCGATCCGGTATAGCACCCAGGGGGGGGGGGGGGGGGGGGGGGGGGGGGGGGTTATGTACGGGTAATATTGCAGTTTTTGCCAAAATAGCACTGGGTTTCGAATGATTAACCATCTACATGTTAAGGTCAGCACAAACAAGCTACATCTGACGCAATACAGCGATAACTCTCCCATCATACATTCATTCCTTCATTCAACAGGGGCCTACTACCATCCAGACCGAACGCTCTCTACCTACACAAATATTCAAACAATCCTCCTACTCCTCGTCCCCAGCATGCCATTCCTCAACCTCCTCTCCGTCAAAGCGGTCGGGGAGCCACCAGTCAGAGCCGGCCTCGCTCCACTCATCAGCATCCCCATCTTCTCCAGCTCCGTACCCTTCCCCATCTCCATCTTCCGCCTCCGCATCCTCTTCGTCCTGCTCCACATGCATGGCGTCGTCGTCCGCCTGCAGCACCTCGGCCGGCACGTGGGCCTCTTCGAAGTAGGGGTTGGGGATAACCTCGTCTTCAACCACCTCGTTCACATCCTCCAGCACTTCCACCTCACCCTTGTCCCGCAGGTGTGCGAGGACGAGGTGGTCTTCGCTCTCGTCGAGCTTGGTGGAAATCCCGCAGGTGACAAAGGACTTCCTGATCAACTCCTTTGGGACCTCCCGCCAGGACTCGTCGATCCACTTCAGAACCGTCTCCGCGGGAGGCTTTTGCAGATTGCCTGAGGGATGGGCAAGGCACGCACCGAGTTGTTTGATGAAATACACAGGCACGCATGCACAAAAACACGATCGGAAAGCACGGGACGCTCTCACCTGCACGCGTCCTCGTGTTGATCCCGATGTCTTCAAACCAAGTGCCATAGCGGTGACGCGTACCGGCCTTGAACGCGCGATTCACGGACACGTCTAGCGGCTGCAGAAGCGGGGTGCACCCCCCCGGGATGACCGCCCGCGTCAGACGGAACATTCGCATGGTTTGACCCACGGCTTCGGTCAAATGGCCGCGGTAGGAGTCCAGGACGACCAACGCCTCCCTGCGGCGTCCGGCTACTTCGCGGATGGGCTTCAGGAAAGGCACAAGTACCTGGGTTATCCAGTCCTGCACAAGGCCTTCGTCCATCCACCCCTTCTCTTGTGCACGGACGACCACACCCGCCGTTCACAACGCAAAGAGAGCGCGCGGTTAGAGGGAGTAATGAATACAACAACTAGTGTGAAGAATGAAACAGTTGGATACTTACTAGCCGGGATGGGCACTTTGGGGATGGTTTTGCATTTGAAAACGACATATGGTGGAAGCTTCAGCCCTCCCGCCGTCACTGCCAGCATGACAGTGACGCGTTCCTTCTCGTAGCCCGCAGTGCGCACGTGGACCGTCCGCGCACCCTTCGTTTCGATTGTACGCTCGGCCGGCATCTCCAAAAATAGCGGAGTCTGATCCGCGTTCACGATCAGGTCGAGCGGGTAGTCGTGGAGGGTGCGCATCCGCATCAGGAACTCCCAGAAGGATTCAACCTTCGCCTTGCAATCTGCACGCACAAAGAAACACTGACAAAACATTAAGAGCAAGCACAGCCCAGATAGAGATGCATCCATTCAAGGACAACTTACCCGCAGCTAACTTCTGGCCCGTCTTCGTCTTCACCCGTCGAGTCAGGTGCCAGCGAGCGCAGAAACGAGCAGTCTAGCGGTGTGAAGCGCGCCAATTCACGCCAGGCATCCGATGCTTCATGAACTTGGCGCTCCACTGCTGCAGCATGCTGACCGAGATGACGAGTCCCTTAACGCTGTGCTTAAGAAACTGCCGATACACGGCCCGTTACATGAACGGGTACTTCGCGCGGCGCTCAGCTCCAATGAGGCGACGGCGGCATCCAGAGGCGACCTCCAGACGCTCCATCATCCGCTTCCACTCGCGGATCTGGCAGGGCTGCACCTTCGCCAGCTTGGACAAAGCTCGATTCGACAGGTCCGGCTGCGATTCCTGCAGTTTCAGCCAGTGGAGCTTCTCCTTGGCGGTGTACGCATGACGAGTGCGTTTCGTCATTCGATGGCGTGGGGAAGGAGCGTCGGCATCCGCGTTGCGCTTCGGAGGTCCCTGGGGGCGTGTTTGTTCCGGGAAGGAAGGAATCTTCACCTTCGGCAGCACCGGCAGAGGACGGGCCGCGCTGCTGCTCGGTTCATCGTTGGTGGAGCGACTCACGGGGGGTGATGGCTGCGGGAGGACGGGCCGGGGCGAACGCCATGTGCCCGCAACAGCGGGTGACTGGGTGACGGAAGGCCGCTGCCGCCTAACCACTGTGCTACTGGAGTCTGGAGAGGTAGCCATCTAAGCCTAGTGAACGTTGGTGTCACAGGCCATTGAAAGGTGAATTTATGCTAGGAAAGGGATCGACAAGGCATGTGGTGTTAGCACACTCTGCCGAGCATTGCTCGAGTTCGTGGAATGGAGACGCTGCTAAGAAAGAAGGATCAACTCCTTCTCATTACAAGGACGTGACCGCCCCAGCGAGGCAGCTGAGGCTGTTGCGGGCGCTCCGCCTTTGTGACTGCATGAACCCTCGTCGAGCGACGAGGGGGTGTGTTTTCGACCAATCAGGGCCTGACAGTGGGCCTTGTTGGAGCTTGCAATGTGGCAGCTAACCCTTGACAGTAACGTTATCGCCCAGTCCTCGGTTTTGCGCACCCAACCAACAATCTACCACCACGTGAAACATGTACATTTTGTTCTCAACCTTTTATGCTATAAAAAAATATACATTATGTAAAGACCCGGGTGCAATGTAGCTTTTTCCGATGACAACACCCCCCCCCCCCCCCCCCCCCCCCCCCCCCTTTTTTTTGTGTAGTTATCATAGCACCCTAGGGTGGTATGTCCGGGGGAATACGGTAATCTGAAATGTCAGTTTCTAGCACCTAGATACTCTGATTCGTCAGACTAATCAGAGTATTTAGTATGATAGCGTCAGCCCTGCCTAGGACACTCAAACTATTCTAACATAGCCGACTCTAACGAGTACGAAGACGAGAAGTTAGAAGAGTCGAAGACCGCAGCAAACGTCAGACCAAGACCGTTGCAAGCAGCATTTGAAGTGAAAAAGGCGGGAACAGTTTTGAAAATGGGTTCCCGCGTTGCATGGTTTGAACTTCGTTGGTATAAGGGTACATTCTTGTGGAGACACTTGTGTCTGAACCCCTGTTTTCCCGAGTCGCGCCTGTAAATTTGCAAAATGTTGTGTCACAAAGAACCAATGTACTACGACTTTGAGCGACAGTCAGGCCGTGCCATGTGGTTGCGTTCTATTGGCTGCGATGTACTGGACCACGCCCACATCGTTTTCCCGCCGGGCAGCCGCATAACACCTTATCCAGTGGCACACTTGACAGACAGTGCACGCCACGATGGAAGAACTTGCAATTTGGACGAGTCGGCATGTTTGCTCTCACCAACACACACAGGCATGTACTCAACCACTCTAGCATGTACAAAAACACACGCACCATCTAGCATAATGCCCCACCCTTCTAGCAACCATGGCACAGCCTCGCGAGGTGCCATTCCTCATGCGACTGCTGGTTGCATGGGTGACTTTCTACTACAGCATCTTCCTAGACGCCGTCGCCAAGTCTGTAGGAGCATTGCTGGAGGCGAACGTCTTCACGGAGGAGGAATCTTCAGCCTCAAGCTCGCGTGGCTCCAACCGAACAGCCGAGCGGAAAAGGAGGGCATGGCTACGCCGGAGGAGATACAACCTGCTGCTAGAGGACCTGGAGGGCATGGGGGAGAACGAATTCAGGGACCTGTTCCGCATTAACCGCGCCATACTCGATTACATTGTCGCCGGGATGGCGCACTACATGCAGCCGTACGTTGACAGATATCTCATCACTCATGAGATTGCATACCTCGTCGCTATCAAATACCTGGCCACGGGCATATCCAGCTGCAGATCGCATGCGACGCACGGGGAATCATCTGGGATTACTTGGTTGGTTACCCGGGCAGTGCACACGATCATAGGGTGTTTATGAACAGCGCGTTACACGAGAGGTTGCACAACGGCGACATAGCGCCATACCAAATTGTCGGTGATGCAGCCTACCCACTCAGGGATTTCTGCCTGACCCCCCTACATGCACCCCGGGAAGGCCTAATGGAGGACTGGGAGTGCTTCAACTATTGCCAAAGCGCAACGCGCATGGCTGTAGAGCGCTGCATCGGAGCCTTCAAAGGCCGGTGGCGTCTCTTCGCGGGCCGCAACGACTGTAAGCTATGGCGCATTCTTGCAGGGGCGTCGTGTGGCGTCATCCTGCACAACATGTGTGAGACCATGGGGGCGTTTAGGCGCGTCAATGTTTCGTGGGCCAATTTTCCACGAAACCTGGACCAGTGGTGGACGAGAGGGGCGGTCGCGGATTTCAAATGGGAGCCGGTGGACCCGAACACGCAGGCAAACCTGCGGGAAAGGCGCAAGAGGCTTGGAGAGGCTTTGGAGTCTTCTTACCTCACTCGGCGGCGCCGCGAACCCACACCTCCTCGCCCGCATCCGGGTTAGAGGCGTTGTCGCCAGCCTGACCGCGACGGAGCCAGCCGTCCTCGCCGCCTTCGGCGGCGTCGGTTGCGTGCATGTTGTCCGGGTGCACGGGGTTGCCGTCGCGGGCAGCCTGATGAGGGGCCTGCTGCTGAAGGCGTTCGCGGGCAATCTGCGCGTCTTGTTCCATCCACGCGCGGACGAGGCCTTCGAGCCTAGTCATCGCGTCCGAGTGGCAGCCCTTGATGGTCTCACACACCAGCTTCGCGGCGGCCATCGTGGCCGTCTCTGCCACCCGCGGACGTTTGGAGGTGGGCGTACCTTGCGGCGGTGGAGCTGCACAAGGGACATGCATTGACCACGTCGTAAACACGGTTGTATGTTATGTCAATGTTAACGAGTTATAAAATAATTGCACAGGGCAGACATGCACAAACGAGGAATCAGCATACATGTACAACAACGCAGTCTCACCCGTGAAAGTCGGTGTCGAATTGCACGGTGCAGATGTTGACGGGACCGCGAACCCGCACTGCACGTTAACATGCGCCGCTCCACCGCCGTCAACGGCGTGTGGGTTCCCGACGGCCTTGTTGTTCTGGTACAGCTCCATGTACGGGAACCAGGGCGGTTTGCACACCGCCCCCTTGCCGCTCGCCCGCTCCCCCTTACAGATCTGCTTGTACATGATGACCAAGTTACGCCACTGCTTCTGCAGCGCGTTGACGCCGCGTACCCACCCTGGATTCTCTTGCTCGAGGTGGCACACGAGGCGGGCCCAATACTGGGATCCTTGCTTCCCGAGAAGCTTCCCGAGTTCGTCCTTCATGAACCATCGTGCTGCCACGAAGATCGTGCTCTCGCGGGGAGACCACACGCTGCGTTTGACCGGATGCAGGTTGCGGGTCTTAGCAGCGGCACGCGGAGGTTCCCCTCCCTTCGCGGCAGTCTTGGTTCCGGCTGCGGCAGTAGCACGGGAACGACGAGTAGACGGGGCGGCGGGCTGGACTTCCTCGGGCGCGTCCTCGTCGTCGTCCGCGTCGTCGTCCGCGTCGTCCTCATCCTCGGACGGAGACATGCCCTTGTCCTCCTCCTCGCCCGAGTCCGCGTCGTCATCGCACGCTTCGTCGCAGTCGTTGTCCTTGTCGTCGTCGGCCTCGTCATCGAAGGCGTCGTCGCCCACTACGCGGGAGGATGCTACACGGTCGGCATCACGGCGCCCACGAGTCGGGACATCTGGAGGGGCTTCGTACGAGGTGTCACCAGCACCAGGCACACCTTCTGGCAAAGGGCCGCCGGGCTTGCGGCCGGCAGCGAGCTGCTTGTTCATCCATGCTATGTACGGGATCTCGGTGAGATCCAGCGGGCAAAGCTCGGCACTACTAGCTACGCTCTTGCGCTTACGGGGCATGGTTACGGAGTGGATGAAACCGAACGAAACAAGAAGGATGGAGCTGGGGTTTGGTGTACAAGACTAGATTGGAAGTGGAGAGGGGGTACCTGTCAACAGGACTAGGCAAGAATGGTGCATTGAATGAAACAGTTGGGTACAAGTAGCAAACCCTAGTTGGGGTTGTACCCCATATTGGCTACCCCACTACAGCCTACCAACATAAAACACATTACAATTTAACACACCCCATAGGCAAAGTGGGGGAGAACAAAGGGTCACAAGACCAGTCTAGCAAAGCAACGCAAGCCCAGGGTGGATCACAACGTCACCACACTCCGAGCACAAGCAAAGGCCACAAGGCCAGTTCACATGCAGTGCTAGATATAGTACAAGACAAGCAACACAGTGATCAAAACCTAGCAGGCAAGCAACAAGATATATATAAAGTACAGTACAAAGAAAGTCAAGCAGTAAGCAAATGAGGGAATGTGGACACAAGGCCTAAAGAAGTACAGTGCCGCTGATGATCACTAGGCGGGAGCGCCTTGGTGAAGATATCAGCAGTGTTGGCCTTCGAGTCCACGTACACAAGCCGAAGCTGACCGCGCTGCTGCAGCTCTCGAGCAAGAAAGTAGCGAAGAGCAATGTGCTTCGTCCTGTGCTCCAGTCTGTGCTCCTGACACAAGGCAAGGGCCGCCTTGTTGTCGCCGTACAGAACTGGAGGAGAACTAGGCCGCTCTCCCAAGTCAGTCAGCAGGTAGGTGAGCCAGCGTAACTCCTGTGCAGCCATGGCAGTGGCGTAGATCTCAGCCTCACAACTAGAGCTAAGAACAGAAGAAGAGCGGGTGGACCGCCACGAGACAGAACCAGAGCCAAGGCTGAAGGTGTAACCCTGTGACGACCGCTGCGTAGCCAGGTCGTCCACCCAAGAAGCGTCCGAGTGACCAGTGAGGACAACTCTGTCGCGTCCTCCAAGCACGAGCCCCATGCCTGATGTACTGCACAAGTAACGCAGCACCCTCTTAGCAGCCTCCCAGTGCTCTCGCCTGTGTCTCCCAGGCGCAACGTAACGAGCAAGGATGCTAAGAGGGTACGCGAGGTCAGGTCGCGTGCAAGTCATCAGGTACATGAGGCAGCCTACAAGCTCTGGGTACGGGCCACTCGGCTCTACGGACTCGTCCGAAGGTGGAGCTGAGAGCGAGTGGCTGGTAGCCAGAGGTGTGGCCTGTGGTGAGGAGAACTGGAAGCCGAAGCGCTGAAGGACCTGCTGCACCATGTGTGACTGAGTCAGGGTAATGGTGCGGCGTGCTCTGTCCCGGGTGATCTGCAAGCCAAGGTAGCTACGCAGCTCACCCAGGTCAGTGCAGGTGTGTCTCTTCTGCAGCTCCGACTTCACACGAGCGAGTGCCTCAGTGTCAGCAGTAGCAAAGACCAAGTCGTCGACGTACACGAGGATGTAGAACGGCGGCAGCGACGTGTCTGTGCGCAGGAACAGTGACGGGTCA